GTCACCTTGTCCTATCACATTGTAGTCCCTGTCCATCACCCCTTTCCTGCCCTAGAATTAATAAAAACCCTACTCCTCCTTTGTTCGGGGCTCTCAGCATGGATTCATTGCGTTGGTGAGGTCTGGGAGCCCGATAAGCCCGTAATAAAGCCCTTTGCCTTTGCATACGTGACTCGGACTCCTTGGTGGTCTTGGGATTTTGGGGAGATCGCGATCTGGGCATAACACACATCCCTCTCTAAATTCTATTGTTAGCGGTTGCCTATCTTCCTCAACCAGAACGCAAATTTTAAAAGATCAGGGGTTATGTTGTGTTCACCTCTGTACCCCGGTGCCTTTAACATTTCCACAAATAACCAAAAACATATAGTTGTGCCCGAATCGCGAGTCCCAGAGACCTCCAAGGAGCCGGCACCAATGTAAATACAAAAGGGTCTTTATTACAAGCTCGAGCAGGGGCTCATCTGCCTACCGGTGGTGGTGGTGTCGTGGCAGTTTGGTGAAGCGAAGAACAATAGCGAATAGGGTTTTTAGGGAGTAAGGGATGGGGGTGTTACAGTTCATGTAGCATCATCACATAAGCACCAATTACAATTACAGCTCTGACCATTCAGTATCTGTGAGGTGTTCATTACTTTTGGTGGGACCCAATCATGACTTCTGAGAATCCTTTGAAAATGACCAGTTATGAGGTGAGTTCAAAGGGCCCACGTGGGGTTCAGGCAAGCGGTGAGAAATTGGCTAGTTTGTATCTGCAGTTCCCAGCCTTGACTCAGACCAGAGGAATGTTTCTTTTTACTTTTTGATTAGCTGAACTGAGGGCGGTCTGAGGATGGCTTTAGCCTTGAACAATCTGAGGCTTTTCCTGGGACTGGGACTGGGGCTACGTGCAGCCCGAGGTTTCTCTTAATGGAGGACTTAATTTTTGGCTCTTCAATATCTTGCCCCGAGAACAATAGCATCTTCTTAATGGATTCCTCTGCCCCAGGCCACTACCACATCCACATCCAGGACAGCTCTCACAGAGCCCTCTGAATTGTTTTTCTAAAACAAAGGGTAGATGCTAGCACCATCCCTCTTGAAGAATCTTCCAGATAGTCTTTCCTAAAGGCTTCAGCACCTCACTCCTCCGGTCTCATCTCCTACTGTGGTTCTCGGAGAACCCCGAGCTCAGTCCTGGTGAACATTCCCAACCATGCCACATACCTTCCAGCAGCCAAGCCTTGACAAGTGCTGCTCCTTCTCCCCGGAATGTTCTTGCCCGCTTCTCCTTTCTTTTTCCTGAGGCCAAAATCCTAGTCATTTTTTCAAAGTCTGGCTCCCAAACCACTTTTTTTTTTTTTTGAGAAGTTCTCTCCATTCCTCCCTTCCTTGGGGCTCCTACGGCTCTTCTTTTATACTTGCGGTGCTACTAACCACACCCTGACTTCTGTCCCCATTGGCTGTATACCTGCTGTCTTTCTTAGAACACCATGAGTGCTTGCAAGACAGGGAAAGATCTGCTGTCTGTGCCTCTGTTTCTTCAGTAGTAAAAGAAAAATCTTTGTACTTTAAGGGAAGAGAACTTCTTCCCTCTAGATTTGTTGTCTGGTCTAATAATTAAATTATTAAATATTGACCTAAGATGGATTCACGGGAGAAAGACAAAGTTAATTTCATACATACTCATATAAAAATATGAGACTCAGAGAAGTGACCAGAGCAGGCAGCTTTTATACCTACCTTTTAGACACATTTGTGAAGAATTGACTAGATCAGGGGGTTTGGACTTGAGGTAGTAAGTTAGCGAAGAAGTAACATGGTTTGTGTATAGAGACTTCTCAGCCCTCAATTCCCTCTCTGGTGATGAGCATGTCTCTCTCCTGGTACAGGGAGGGTCCTTTTCCAGGAGATTTATTTTCTGCTTTCTGGAGACAAAAGAGGGTCGGTACACGCTGTTTAAGTAACTTTAAAATAACCTACATGCCAAAGCAGCCCATTTTGGGGTGGCCTGCCCTGAAGTTCGTCAGTACCTAGCTCATAGAGTTTTTCTGAGGAATAAATGAGTCAATGCCTGTAAAGCAATTAGAATGATGACCAGCACAGAGTAATTAAATACTGAATAAATGTTTGTTACTACCACCACATTCCTTTCTGTATCCTTATTACTGGTCTGAAGTAGGCCTCAATATGTATTATTGTTGCATTTGGTGGGAGGGGGACAGGAAACTGCTGGAAGACTGAGCTTTGGAGCTTTGAACCAGGTTGGTAATATTTTAGTAACCTACTGAGTTGTCTGTGTAACTTCCTTCCAACTCTCTCCCCACCCCAAACTTTGAGGATAAGAGCCAGGGATAATTAAGCAAGAGGAGAGAAGGTAGTCTTAAACCTTTACCTAGTGGTGTGGCATCAGGTTGGTCTGACCTAAAGGTACCTCACCTGCCTCAGAAATTTATTTATCTAAAAAACCTTAAAAAAAAAAGTTTTATATATATGAGAGAGAGAGAGAGAGCAAGAAGGGGAGGGGTCAGAAGAGAGGGACTGAGAGTCCGAAGCAGGCTCTAGACTCTGAGCTGTCAGCACAGAGCCTGATGCAGGGCTCAGACTCACAAACCATACAAACCATGAGATCATGACCTGAGCCGAAACCAAGAGTCAAACGCTTAACTGATTGAGCCGCCCAGGTGCTCCAGGAATTTATTTTGAAAAAAGCCTCCCTGGGCCCCTTATTCGGATGATGCTTATCCTGGAAGGAATAACATATTTAACCTTACCTCAGACTGGCTCCTGCTTTCCCTGGTCAGGGGAGGGATGGCATATAGGATGACCAAATGGTAGGGGTGATGGCTGGGATCACAAGAGAAGTCTGGCCTAGGAGTTGCTGTTCCCAGAGTTTCCGAAGGCTTGTGAGAGGAAGGGTTGCCAGAGTGCTGGATGCAAGAGAGTGGGAAGGATGAAGAGACCCCAGATGTCTCCTAAGATGAGGCTGGTCTAATGGAGGAGCATGAAGGGACAGTGGGGGATTCCCTAGGCTTAGTTGTTCTGATTCTTCTGGTTTCTAGCTGGGACACTGTGGCACATAACTGAACCTCTCTGGCCCTGTGGTGCTGTTTGGTGGAGAAGTTTTGAGTTCTGTTCCGTGTTAAGAGGAGGTGCTGGCATGTGGCAGGTGACTCCGTCTAAATGAGTGCTTTAACACATCCTGGACAGTGTCTGCCAGGCTGCTCCGGAGCCTGCCTGATTCCACCCCTCTTCCCCCCGCCCCTGCGAAAGCCACCTTGTGGGTGGGGAGAACAGCCAGTCTCCACTCTCAGGGAGGTGCGGGATTCCTGGCAAGTTACCTGTGAGACCGGGTTAGTCTCTACTGGCCAAAGGTTCACCGGCACAACAGGGGGGTGTCTAGACTGTGATCAGATGGGACCCTGGGGAGCAACTGGGATTTCTCTGAGATACTTAACAGAGCTCTCTCCTCAGCTGAAGGTCTTACATGAACCCAAGCTATCTGAGACATGAAATATACTTGATGTTTGCATGTCATTCACAAGTACTTTCAGATACTCATTTATCTAAACCAGTTATCAACCTGTAACGTTAGTTGTCATTTCCATTTCATTAACGAGAAAGCTCCGAAAAGGTGATTTATCTGTTTGGAAACTTAACAGGGTTTGTCACAGAGCCAGGTTTGGCACAAGTTTGTACTGGCTTTATCTGAATTACGGAGATGGAGGGTGATTTCAACATAAAACAGCCTCGATCATTAGGCAGTGTATGGCAGTGGGGTATAGGCGAGTGAGTCTTGGAGCCAGAAAGCAAGCTCCACACCTGTCAGGTACTAGGGGAGGGACTTGGGCAAGTTAATGCTCATTCTCACTTCCCTCATTTGTGAGATGGTATCTCAGAGGATTAACTGCCTGACATGAGTAAATGCAGTATTCATATTGCCTTGAAAATGTAGATAAAAATATGGCATCTCTTAGTAAGGTTCCTATTTTCCCCTGTGCGATTTTTCCCAGCTTAAGTTTCTACCTTCAAACTGGACTAGAAATGGGCCAGTCAGGGCTTGATGGGGTTCAGATACTTGAAATTAAGCCATAGGAAAGGAAATCTTCCTCGTCTGCAGGCTAGCTGATAGGTGTGGGGCCGTCCGCCTTTTCTAGGCTGACTGGCTGTGGGAGTTTTTCCCGGTGGCCTGGCATCATGGAGATTTACCCGGCACGCTCGACGGAGCCTGGCCCTTGCTGGGAGGATTAAATTTCATCCAATGTTGAAATCACTTGAAATTCCTCTTGCTCATCCAAAGATACAGAAATAAAAGAAGCAGCTCATGGTCCTGCTGAGGCGAGATCTTTATTGTTAGTCGCTCTTGCATCTTTTATTTTCTATCTGCCAAAAAGATACGGGTCCAAGTAATAGAAGAATCACATGCACACGGATGTTACCACATACCCCACACACATCTATCTCATCAAAAGGTCAAATTGTATTTTTACTGTGTTTATCTGTAGACCTCAGGGCTCTATGGAAGCTTCTGAGTGGAAAGAGGAAATTTTTACCACTTTCATTTTCAGTGTGCCCTCATTCAGAGGGTTTGTTCCTGGGTGGGCTGAGGCAGGAGGCCACCCCATTCTTTTTAAATGTCCTGGCCTAAGCACTGCCTAGTAACTAACGCTCGTAAATCAACGGAAATGATACCCAAATTTGACTCCCCCACCCCCCTTTTCCTCTTCACCAATCACTTTATCGCCCTGGTGGAAGCCCCTTTGCTTTCTGCATTTCTGTTTTACTCCTTAGTATTAAGATAGTAGGCGTTCAGCCACCTCATGAGGAGCTGAGGATTCATAATTCTTTCCAAACCACTTAGGAGCTATGTAGGTCTCCTTGAAATATTCACTTGTCTTTCTGCCTGTTTGACCAGTGGTCACAAGAATGAGTCATCCGTTGGGCTTTAATCCACATGAGCCTGAAATAACAGCAATACCAAGACTATGACTTTATTAAAACCTTCACTTCTCACAAACCTGATTATTTCAAAGCTAATTTTATTTGACATTTGGCCTGTGAGTTTGTACCAATTTGCAAGGTTTTTTTCCCCCCAAGTCACCTTCTTAAACCAATGCAAAGTTCATCAATTCTCACACCTGCAACTCCTTACAGATTCAGGAAAACAGAATCTCTCTCCCGACAAAGGACTTTTCTAGAGGCTGTGGGATAGAAGGAATCGTCTTTACAAAAATATGAGTTAGCGGTTAGGAACTAAATTTTAAATGCCTTTAAAACACACACACACACACACACACACACACATAAACGCCTTTACGTATATATAACTATAGTTACATATTACACATTTTATATAACTTTTATAGTTACATATTATATAACTATAGTTTATATGTATATAAAAATATGATTCCCCAGAGATCTTATCCATATATAGACCTAAGAAACAAGGGAACTAACATCTAAAGGCCAAAAATCTCTTGAGTTCCGGACCCTTAAAAAGACCATCCTTCAGTGTTGCCATTATTCCCACCTGTATTTTAAGACACACTCTTAGAACAGGGGCCTAGAACATCAGACAAGCATGATGCACAGTTGACACATTCAGATCCACGCACGTTTGCGACTTTGTTATTAGAGCCGAGTGCTCATTTCTCCTTTCTTCTATCTACATTTTTCTAACAATTTCCCCCTTACTTCTTTTGAGGGATACTGCAAATTTTTTGAAGAAACTGATACAGAACTCTTAGCACAATGCTGGGCGTACACTCAGGGGGACTTGATGTTTGTGACCTAATTGACACTCACACGGCTTCCTATTTTCCTCCCATTCAATAGTACTTGTACTTTCTCGGGACCCTCTGCAACTTCGAATGTGCCTCTTACAGGTAAATATTCCTTCATACGTAACTCAGCAGAGCTTAAGTCATGCTCCACTGATTTTTGAAACTTCTGCTGACATCAGCTCTGCCTCATCTGCTGAATATAAACACGAAACACTTGGAGAGGAGTCCCTTCTTTCAGATTCAGCAAGACTGTGTTCAATTACTCCCCATTAAGAAATTGTAGTCACATCTTTATCCATTAAACAGAAAGAGCCTAAAATACTTCACAGATAAATCTAAGAGCTTCACATTAATAAACAGGTATTTTATCCATTAGAAATACTGCTCTTAGGCAGATGAAAAAGTTTAAATAGGAGAAAGCTTGAATGAAATAAGCCTCTCTGCATTCACTGAGGAAGTACCTACCTATATACCAAAATTACAAATGAACTAAAACCAGACAATAAGCCTTGAATGGGAGCTGGACCCAAATGTTTATTGCTGCCTCACTTTCTTCTAACAGCTAACCCTTCCCTTTCTCATGATTGCTCTTTATTTGGTACCCAGCCAACCTCTGAGACACAACTGAACTCCTCCCTCCACCAGAAAGTGATTGCTGGTCCTCACTGAGCTCCTCCCTAGAACTCCCTAACCCTAAACTCGTGCCTCACAATTCCAACCAGCACTGATGCCTTCTACACATACAGGGTCATTTCCACAGACGTACACTGCACAACAGCCTCCCTTCCCCCGTATTGTCATAGTGCCTCTCCCAGCGTTTGACCCCCTCTCTAACCTCATGGAGGTTTGGACATGCACTCTTGTGGGAAAAAGATGAAAGATAAGTCACCCCATCCCAATCTCATGCAACCTATGTGGCTGGCCCTCTCTGACTCATGGTTCACTTAAGAGCACAGGACCCTCAAGTAAGCAAACTAAATTGATTTGGGTCTCCCATCCAAGAGGGAGAGTTTGACTGGTAGCATAAAAGAGCGTCACACCTGAGAGCTTCTGGGCTTACGCTGCAGCACTGGTTCACAGGCCTGACCGCAAATGACCTTTTCCATTAATGCCCACATTTACAAGTTGGTGTCTTTCATACGGTGTTTCTCTCAGGAACACTGAACACAAAGTCCTGCCCCTTTGTTGTGGAGCATGGAGGCTTGGCTCTATATTGCTTCAGAACCGCTGGCCTTCCCGCTGGGAAGAGAGTGGGCCTTACCCTCTCCTCATGACTAAGTCCAGAGAATGTGTGGTAAAGGAGTTTTATGACATTTTAACCTGAGTAGTATTCCAGACAGACATTGTTCATGAATGCTTGGCTTACGGTGTCTGTGTCGCTACACTGCTGATGACTAGAAATGTGAGGTAACCTAGTACGTGCTGTGCCCAATCCAAAAGTCAAAAACATTTGGGGACACTTTAAATCAGCCTGGAGCATCCTCATTTCAGAAGTACGGTGGGCCTAGTCTTTTCCTCAAAAGATCTTAATATCTCCACTGCTCTCTTCTTAGCTAAGCATGAGCAACTTTAAATACCACCCTTAATGCCAATTTTGTTCCACTAACCTATCAGGACATATAATGGGGATTGTTTTTCCAGTGCTGGGGATAGACTACATGGGTCAATTTTCCAACCCTCTATGACACAGAGGTGCAGTGATCAAGGTTCAGAATTAGGCCTCTGAAGTGAGGGGCACATAGGCTTTGGAATGAGAAAGATCTGAGTTCAAATTTAAGTGTGCCATTTGCTGGGTAGGTAATCTGGAACAAGTTATAATTTCTGTGGCCTTGTTTTCTCATCTGCCAAGTGGGAATAACACTACCTCCCTTAACAGAGTTGTTGTGAAAATTATAATACACACAGAGCCCCTGGCGTACTGCTACCATATAGTACATACTCCATACATGTTAGTTACTATTTTTATTATCCATGAGTTTGAATTGGCTAGTAGAGTCCATGATTTTTCATTCACTATTTGTCTTCTCAGAAAAGTCATCTAGGACTAAAGTTAAACACATTTATCCTGTGAGACTGTTAAATACTTATAAGGTTAACTTAGTGAGTAGAAAAGGTTAGAGCACTAAAGTGGAAGAATGTTGTCCATACCCGCACTCCCTTATGGCCCCAACACACACACACACACACCAGAATAAACCTTATGCCCATTTGTCCACATCTCCAACCCTACTTGATGAAAATGCCTGTGGTCTTAAAGGTTAGAAAACTTCAACCTTTCAAAACTTAAGGATGGGAAAGTGAGACCCCAGGAACTGTGTATATTCCACTAGAAAAGGAAGGGGGAGAGAGAGGGAAAGCTGCTATGTTTTCTGGTCATTAGCAATATAATGGCTCCCGTGTGCCGGAACCCCAGTCTGATGAGAAGAAATGACTCGAAGGTCACGAATGGACCGAACTGTCCACTGTGAAAGCTCTCGCAACACCTTCAGGCCCCACAGCTTCTTCTCAAAGAGACCACCATCTCCAACAATGATAGGCATCCCAACAGCCTCACTGGGGGGGATCTTGTGTTCCAGGAGCATCATTAATTCCTCCAGTTGGTAAGCAAAGGCAGCAACTTGGAGAAGAAGGGTATGTATTGCTTGATGGAAGTCCCCTTCAGCTGGAGTAAAATGCACCTGCTGGTCTTCTAAAAGCCTGGCCAACATAACATGGAAGGCACGGTAAGCTTGGAGGTTGTCTTGGAGTCGCTCTGCCTCAGTCAGCTCACTCCATCGATCAGTGCTTGCTACTGGCACACCATCCACAGAGTCCAGGTTTATGTTCTCGTTCAGGCCCTGATGCTTCATCTGGCCAAGGATACATAAAAACATCACATCTTCTGTAATCATCCCAAAGTCCTTATTTAATCCCTAAATCTCATGTAAAACCTTATTCACCTTCCTGGTCAAGGATCTAAACTGTAAAGAAAATAACAAATCTACAAAAGGAACTCTTCATTTGAGACCCAATGATGGAACTTTAGGAAGACACTATTGTTTCTGAAATTATACATACTGTTTTGACTATCTGTTCACTTTTTGTGGGAGAATCTGCAGCTTTCATTGGGTTCTAAGGGTTGAAAACCACGGGTCTAGAATGTTTCCTTCCCACTTCAAACTGCCTTTGAGAAACTGGAGTATTTTAAATCATATTGGAGATTTAAAAAACACTGGGTACATCTATGAAGCCCTAGAACTAACCCACTGCAGAATTTTTCTAACCCCCTCTCTCCTCCATTGTCCACTTTCAATGGTGAGGACAATCCTTTAGAGAATTCAATGGATACTAGTTAAAAAAAACAAAAACAAAACCAAAACAGACTTGTTGATATTTCAGAGTCTGATTTCTAACTGGTGAGGCTGTAAGAACCTATATTCAGAACTCTCACAGGGCCTTCAGTATCCCTACAGGCCTCAGGTAGACAAGGACAGGGATCTCCCTCTATCAAAAAACCAGTCTGGAACTCCATGGTTAACTCCCTAAGTTCCCTTGACACTTCCCTAAGACCCCAGTGAATCTTCTGGGGGATCCTTTTGGCAGTGTAGGTGACCATTCTATTTAGACAGAGGGAGACTTGGTATATATTATAAAAAGTGGGTGGCTGATTCTGTATAGGAGAAATTCTTTGGATTTGTACTGCTCTTCTCTCTATCCTATACACCTCACTCTTTCACTTACACAGCACAAAAATTCAGAACAATGTGTATGAAGAACCCACCGTTAATCTATTGTGGTAGAATTCAGACTGTAAGCAATCAAATTAGGAACAGCCTCCAAGACATACAGTCAATCCTGCCCAGAACCCCATGTATATTTTCTTATTCAAAGAACAGGTCTCCTAAATAGCCTAGAGAAGAAAATACTATCACAAGAGTTTCCTTAAGGGAAGGAAGCATGAAGGAACCATGTCAAATGATAGGCCCCCATCTATGAATGACTCTATGAGGAGGGCCTTCATGATTGGTAATGGGGGATGGAACATGGTGGAAACGGGCTGCATCAGAGGAGATGAAGCGAAAACAGACAACAGCAAAATAGGCAACTTACATAAGATTCCATAAGAGCAGTCAGGTCTGAACGAATCTTCCTTGCTAGCCAGATAGAGCGGCTACAGAGGTCCCGGCGGTAAGGGGTCAGTGAGGAGTGCTCTGCGAAAGCCATTCCCTAACTCAAATGTCCCAGGAAACAAGTGAGCTGGGTTTGCTTCTGTCTACACTGGTCCAAATAAGAAATGTGACTCTCAGACTAAATCCACTGGGCATTCTGTACTAATGGGATTGTGCACCCCACCCCCACCCCCCTGCCTGACTCAGAGGTGGCAGCAAATTCCTGGCTGTGGATTTTTGTGCCTGTGGAATCAAAGGCCCCTTTTTAATCAGCTTTTTTTCCTGCAGTGTCTGCTTCCATCTCTCTCCTCCACTCAGTGCCTAGTCTACTTGTTTTTATGTCATTGTTTTGCTTTTGCACTTAGCAACAAGGTCCCTATCACACTAATCCTCATGACACCCCTGCCTAATGGGATCTGTTTTATATACTTATCAGTTCATTTTATTATCACCCTCCTTTGTATTCCCCATGTCCTCTTCTTTCTTTCTTTCCTTTTTTTGGCCTGGTAAAGTGCTCAAGAATATTAAGTTATTATTATCAATACAGCAGCCATTGATTAAGCAACTACTCTGGACTAGACACTGTGCTCAAGGCTTTAAAGCCTTTATTTGACGTGTGGAATAATTCTATGAGATAAATATTATTTTCCCCATTTTACATAAGAAATTGAGGCTTAAAGAAACTAAATAATATGCACAAAATCCAGGAAACAGGCACAAAAGTTAAATACAGGTCTCTGATTTTACAGCTGTTTCTCCCATTGATTTTTCAGTTTTATTCTTTAGGTTTCTGACATTTACTTAGGAAACAAAGTTTATGTAAAACAGGTCCCTTAAAAATACAGCATCTTTCCATTTCTATAGCTTCATTATGTATTTAAAGTTAGTTTAATTTACACTCAATTAAAAATCAGCAAAGTAAGCATCTCTAACCTCAATCAGGGTGCCTTCCTCATAGCTACAGGATGAGGAAAGTACTGTTTAGGCCTGTTCTTTTCCAAAGGACAGGAAACACCCAAGCCCGACTGGGTAACATTTCTAAGGCAGTCTCAAGTGACAACATGCTTTTCTTTTTCTTCGTTAGCCCAGTCACACCACCTTGCTTCTTAACAAGATAAGAGAATGAGCTGGGCTTTGAAATGAGGGCAAAAGAGTTTAATAGCATGTGCAGAGTTAGAGTTGTTCTTCTACTGCATTCAACTCAGTAGGTTAGATGCTTACTGACCAAGAGCTCCAAGGGTCATCCTCGAAGTCAATCAATTAGCTCCCACTGTCTCTTGGCAGACACTGTCTCTACACTGAAACCCACACCTTCTCAGACGCAAACTTCCATAGGTAAACAATACGCAAGAGTAAGAAAGGAGAAAAGGGAGAAGTGGGTGCTGTCGCAGTAGGCCTTTTAAGAATGTAAGAGGACAGGTCTTCTTTTTAAATTAGCACTTGCTGTGCACATGGAGTTTTGTGAAAAAGCACTGATATTACTTGGTACCAAGGTTTTGTCATTTATCAGACTAACATAAACTTTACAGCATTCTTAACATTCTCTCCACTCGATTAATAGGGCCACCTTTTCTAGAAGTCTGTCAAAACATAGGAGGGATTTCCAAGTTTGCCAGATGATCATAGAATCCTATGACAAATCAGCATTAGAAATCAAGAGCTACAGTGAGTCAGGCACTAACTGTCTGACTCCCAATGAGAGCAAACGGCAGCATCTGCCACATAAAACCTGCTCTGAGCACACTGGGCTCTCACTGAACGGCAGCAATGGTTTTCACCCTTCAGGTAACTGCAATTCAGTACAATCAAGGAAGACAAGTTGCTTCCATGAAGACAACTTTTATTGTTCTTCTTTACATATTTATTTTGGATATGCCTTACCTAGATTAAGAGAAAACAAGGATTTGAAAAGCAGAGTATCCCTTTTATTATAATTTCTTTTTACATAACCTTTTCAACCTAATTCAGGGGACTACCTGTCTCTCCCATCAAAGGAGAAGGGTCCTGCACATTACAACAGGCAAAAAAGGCTTGTAGGAAATAGAATATTTTAAACTGATTCATTACAATTTTTCAAATTTCTTGAGTACATTGGAAAGTGGGAAAAAGAAGGAGGGAAAAACGGTACTTCAAACAACCAGACTTAATAACCTTAGCTGGCTTTAGTACACTCTTTAGATATTTTCCAACAGGTACAAAGGAGGTTCAAGTGCTCTATGTAGATGCTTTTCCATACCTGAATTCTTTTTTTTTAAACTCCCAGTAATCCTGGCCAGTATTTATCCAAACTCTCTGAAGCACAGTAAGTCTCGATTATGCAGAATAACCCTAGGCAACCAGAGATTAGGGGGAGGCGCATCTCCCAGAAATAATACTTGTATCTGAGTCACATTTTCAGAACTTAGAATTGCCAATTAAAGATGGAGAATATGCAGTGGGAAGAGTTATTAAAAAGGTAACACAATTTGACTAAGAGTAGGCAATGTAGAATTTTAAGGTTAGGAGAGCTCCTTGGAAGGACACAGAAGTACACAGTGTGAGAAGCAGACAGGGAAAGGGAAGAGGGACTAGTAGAAGACAGCTTACTTGTACCACTTTTTACTGTGCTAGCATCCCTTTCTCAAAAGGAAAAACGATTAAGTCCCTGGGGAATATTTTAAAATTGATTGCAAACTGATAATAATTTATTGAAGCAAACTGTAGGCAAATGGTACCTATAGAGAGGTCAAGAAACAAAATGAGAAACAGAAAGTTCCTAATTGTTAGAACTAACTTGTTGCTTTTGATGGGGAGGAGTGTGATACAGGGAAGAACATATTTTCCCTTTCTCTCATCAAGTTTTTTAATGCAATTTGCTTTTGTGTAGGTGGTTAAAAAATATCTGATGACTGGCCACTGCAAGCACAACTTACAGGGACAGAGAAAATAAATGTGATGATGACAGAAGTTAAGTGTGGAGTACAGATGCAAGCCAGTGAAACAGTATAAAAAGGACTTATAATGGGAGTGGAACAACTTCGTTGTAAACCCACCCAATCAATCTGATAATATTTTCAAATGTAGTCAACATACCAGAGTCAATTCCAAATCCTTACTGTGGGCAGGAAAGCATATTCTACATCCCTTCTATCCTTATTCCATTTTCAACCCCCACACTGGAGGGATGGCAAATCTGCAACACTCTGAAAAGAAACAATGGTGCCTTTAAGTCTATTCACTGTAGGTGTCTGACTCCCTATTCCCTGGCATCCAAACCACTGACACTAGTGGGTGTAAAGTAAGCCTCTTTCAGATATGACATTTTGTTACCCCTCTTTTTGGGAAAAAAAATAAATCAAAGAGAAAATTGATAAACTTTGTAGTTTTAGTGTTTGTGAAAAACAAGCTGTTCCTTATTTTGCTCCCAGCAAAACTTCATTCTTTCCAACAGCCATCACACATTTCTGACAAACAATGAATAGGGCAAGCCTTTAATTCCAGCTTGTGAGGTACACAGAAGTTAGAAACTGCCCTTCTAATTCTCTAAAAATGAGCCCAAATAGGTTTTTAGTCTTCTGGGAATTATAAACTTGTACAAAAACACAACCTTCCTCTCCTTTGGACAGTAATAAGCAATCTACCCCAAGAAAACCCCTATCTCCATGGATATGGTAATTCCCAGAATTTTAGGTAAAAATCAAAGTTATCACTATACAGATTATTAACTTTGTCTATGGAAGCCTTTCCTCTTCTGAAGTGTTCTTCGAAGGGAAACAGAACAGAACAATTTCTTTGACTTAAAACTGTGCGAGTCCTATATCTCTTCACTAATGGCAGTGTCCTTCACTAACTGGGAGCTGGAATGAACCAATGATAAAGTAAAGCAGAAACCAAAACAAAGTAAGGGGTCAGAATTGGGCCAAGAGGTGTGTGGAAAGAAATGAAGGGGACAAAAAAGAAAATAAATTCAAAAAAAAATCTTTTATCTGTAATTCAGACCCTGAACAATCCTTCTCATCCCCTCAAAATTCCTAAATCTCAATGCTCTAAAAATTCAAAGAGCACTAAATACTGAAAATCTAACAACCTTCCCTAAATAGGCTTCTGAAAAAGCACTAGGCTACTGTATACTACTGTAGTGATTTTGTTAGTGCTGAGGACCAGCTTTCTTTAAAGGCCACTGGAGAGCTATGATTTTAGAGGCTGGCTGTGCTTCTTCAACCCTATATCTTGCCTTCAAAAAAGTACCTCTTATGGAAAGGATCCCATGTCAGAATAATCTAATCTCTCCCAGCCCCACAAAATATAGCAACAAAGATCAAAAAAAAAGAGAAAAAAAAATCAGTCTTTCCAATAATAAATAAGGAATCTCAGGTTCCACAACACAAAAACACACGTTTCAAAGTGCAAATTTCTGCCATTAGTCTGGGACTTTTACTGATACAGAGCCTTGTCTTATGGTCTGAGAAACCATGTAGAGGGCAGCCCCCCTCCCTGTTGGGAGCCTGCTTCCAAGCTAGTGAGCACCACTGAGAACCAGATGGAGGTGTTGGGAGGGGACTGAAGTGCTGGGTTCACAGAGGAGGGAGGTGGTCCCCATGAATCCTTCCTTTCCGAAACCCAGCAGGGAATGGAGGAGAAGGGGGGTGAGTGAGAGAGGGGTGCTGTTTTAACAGCTCACCCTGCCAGGGAGCCTAAAGTGCCAAGTCAAGCTGCCAGCCTCCAGAGATTAGAACTGTATGATGCTTTGGGGGTAAGTGTGCCGCAGCGGGTAGAAGCCAGAACCATAGGGCAGCAGTGAAGGAGAAGGGGCTTAGAGGACAGTAAGATACTATCAAGAGTTAAAAGCTGATCCAGAGCACATCAGAGTTACAGGTTTAAGAAGGGATCTGCCGGTAAGCACAAAGTCTGCCTGGCTGGAACGGAGGGGGAGGAGAACCCTCACTTTAAGAGCTTCTTTTTTGCCTACCTTTTTGGTAAAGGCAACATCAATTTCATAAAGGGGACAATAGAGGGAGAAGAGGGTGGGTGTAGGTGTGTGTGCTGTGATCCACAATGGAAAGAGCAGGCCCTTCAGTTATTTTACTAGATTTTAAATGCTTTAAATTTTTTTTTTTGTCCTTTTTATCTTTTAAATACAAAGTCTGAGCTGTCCCAGTGCCCAAAGTCTTCCCTTCCACTAAGGTCCAGTAGAGTCTGAATCTTCAATCAGAACCTCTGTGGTAGCACCGAGTATATCCGAGTTCATGACCAGCCCTTCAGTGCCCCCACTGCTGCCACTTCCCACAAAGATCTTGCCATCAGCCATCAGGCTCACCCGCTCTGTCCCACTACAGTATGACTTGGACATCCCTTCGGCTTCTAGCAGGAGGCACTCTCCAGAGGTGGAGTTTCCCAACGGCTCAGGAAGGAGAGGAAGACCCTGCCCATCTGCAGGTTGTGTCAGGGACTCAGGGTTAGTGCCCAAGATGTCTGTGCTGGTGATGAGGGCGCCCGCATTGGCAGCCAGGGCTTCGGCAATCAGCACCTCTGGGTGGCTTTTTGCTTTGTGTGCCACTACGCTGTCCTTCTTCTCAAATTTTTTGCCGCAGATATTGCAAGAGAACTGGTAGAAGGAATCTGCATCATGCTTCTTCATGTGC